GGGTCCAATTCCCGACAGCATGAGGAGTTGGGGGGAGTTGATGGCTCCCGCAGAGACGATGATCTCCTTCCGGGCGTGAGCGACGTGCGCCCTGCCGTTCCTCAGGAACTTGACGCCGTACGCACGCTTCGTGTATTCGTCGATGAGGATCTGTGGGGGAGAAAGAGAGAGATAAAGAAGGTGAGAGGGAGGGATTGAAAAGGGGATGTGTTTAAAGTGGTAAAAAAACGTGTTTATATCTAGTATTTGCACGTGTTTCTGCGTTGGAATGTCTGTTCCTTGGTGTATATACATAAATACAGTCTATCAAAATGTATGTTTCTTCATCATTACGACTCCGAAAGACACACACCTTTGTCACGAAAGAGTACATAGCGACGTGGAGGTTCTTGCGCAATCTGACGGGCCGGATGAAGGCCTTGCTGGTCGAGCATCTTGAGCCTCGCCTGATGGTTCCTTGGGGGATCATGAAGCCTGCCAAGGAGGGAGAGGGAAGGAGAGGGCATTAAGGCGATGGAAAAGGCTTAGAAAAATGGGGAATGATGATGGGGAATAGGTGAGAAAAATGGGGAATGATGGAATAGGCTGAGAAAAAATGGGGAATGATGGGTAATGAATGGTAGATAAGCGTGGAAGAGGAAGAATAGGAGAGATGTGTGAATTGTGTCTTAGGAGGCCATGGAGAAAGTGCGGAAGGATGGAGAGAATAAAAGAACAGAAGAAAGTAAAGGAGGAAAGGCATGGAGGACGATAAGAAATAAGTGGATGATGATAATAGTTCGAATATACGTGAAGACGGAGGTAAAGGATAAAATACATATCAAATGTTTCTGATAAATTATAGGACTGAGGGCTTCTTAAGAAATCATTAAAGGAAGAACACGCAGACGAAAGGATAAGATGGAAATCATGCATAAAACTTAATAAAAAAGGGAAAACAAAGAAAATTTCTGATTTAACATAATTTTGATAGTTCACTGAGGTTACATGTAACCCGCGACGAAGGAGAAGCAACATAACGATAAAAGAAGACATAGAGAGAAGGAGATAACATAAGAAAGTTGGGAAATGACAATAGATGATCGAAATATAAACGTGGGAAATGAAGTAGATGAAGAGAGATAAAGTGAAATGAAGTTTCCCTGATATACACGAGACACGAAAAGAAAACATGATGATGAAGCAAGATTTCCTCTTTCTGTTCACTCTTTCCTCTTCCTCTTTCTTGCCCTTCTTCTCTCTCCATTCTTTCCCCTTTCTTGCCCTCATTCTCTCTCCATTCTTTCCTCTTTCTTGCGGTTATTCTCTCTTTTTTCTCTTTCTTCTATCCTCTCTCTCTCTCTCCTTCCTCTTTCTCGCTCTCATTTCTCTTTCTTCTACCTCTCTCTCTCTCTCTCTCTCTCGTTCCTTTCTTCCTTCCTCTCTCTCGCTCTCATCCCTCCTTTCTCCCTTCCTCTCTCTCTCTTTTCTTCCTCTTTCTTCCTTCCTCTCTCTCTCTTTCTTCCTATTTCTTCCTTCCTCTCTCTCGCTCTCATTTCAATTTATTCCTTCCTCTCTCTCGTTCTCATTCCTCTTTCTTCCTTCTCTCTTCTCTCTCTCTCTCTCTCTCTGGTCTCTCTCTTTCACTCTCTCTCTCACCTATTCTTCCCTCCCCCTCCCTTTCCTTTCTCTCTCTCTCTCTCTCTCTCTCTCTCCCTCCCTCCCTCCCTCCTCTCCCCCTCTCTCTACTCTCTCTCCTCACCTGTCTGGTATTCGGCGTTGTAGTCTCTGTTCCGTTCGACGAACGGCCGGTGGCGAGTGCGTCCTCCCCGAGGGGCCTCCTGCACCGTCAGATAGCCTCCGGTGCCGTGGTACTTCACTGCGGGGAGAGGGGTGTCTTAAACGAGTGGGAATAATTGGGATTTAGAATGGGATTTAACGAGTTGGGAATTATCGAGTGGAATTTTGGAGAATTGGAATTTAACGAGTGGGATTTGGAAGGATTATTAACGATTGGGATTTTGAATTTAAGAAATTAAGGGGGATTAATGTGGGATTTAACAAGGATTGGATAACGATTTAACGAGTGGGATTTAGAATTGGGATTTAACGAGTGGGATTTAACAAGGAATTAACGATTGGGATTTTAACGAGTGCGAATTAACGAGTGGGGTTTAGAATTGGGATCTAACGAGTGGGATTTAACAAGGAATTAACAATTGGGATTTAGACATTGGATTTTAACGAGTAGGATTTAACATTTGTGAATTAACGAGTGGGATCTAGAAATTGGAATTTAACGAGCGTGGTTTAACAATTGGGAATTAACAATTGGGAATTAACAATTGGGAATTAACAAGTGGTAATTAACAAATGGGATTTAGAAATAGGAATATAACGAGTATGATTTAACAATCACGCATTAAAATCTGACTTAGAAATGGGAATTCAGCAGGCATGATTTAACAGCTGGGATTTAACAAGAGTGATTTGGCAAAGTGGACTGAACAAGTGATTGAACAAGCGACATCAGCAAGTAGGTCGTTGCGTGCGCGTGTGAACCTTTTCGTGAGCATGTGCAGCACAAATACCATAGTCGGTTTTTATGTATGAGAAGAGTGTTCACGACTGGTTGGTTAGTGTGCTTCTGTGTATGTTCTTGTGTGTGTGTGTGTGTGTGTGTGTGTGTGTGTGTGTGTGTGTGTGTGTGTGTGTGTGTGTGTGTGTGTGTGTGTGTGTGTGTGTGTGTGTGTGTGTGTGTGTGCGTGTACGTGTACGTGTGCGTGTGCGTGTCCCGTGTGCATGTGCATGTGCGCGTGTACGTGCGTCTCGTGCCTATGCGCATATTCCCCACAAGCAAAACCCTCCTTCACACTCACGATTCCGAGCAATATAAGGATTCCTATTATCCTCCGATTTCTTGAAGTAGTGCAGGATGGTGTCGAAGCCCCAGCCGTGGTTCCCGAGGGCTTCCCAGTAGTCGTAGTCCCGCCGGTTGCCCCGCACATACAGCATGTAGTTGAGGACTGAGGAGCCGCCCATTACTTTGCCTCGGGGCCAGTTGCATCTGGGGGGGGGGGGGAGAAAACACATGGTGAGTGAGAATGCATGGTGAGAGGGAGAGAGAGGGAGAGAGAGAGGGAGTGAGGAGAGAGAGGAGAAGGAGGGAGAAGGAGGGAAGGAGGGAGAGAGGATAGGAGAGAGAAGGGGGGAAGGAAGGGAGTTAGGGATATAGAGATAGATAGATAGATAGAAGAAGAGAAAGAGAGCGATGCGAGAAAACACACTGAAAAGAGAAGGTATGAGAGAGAAGAAAACACACGACAATAAAATAAAACACAAGGATATGTCTCTCATTTCATCGTTATTTTTTATATAATTTCGTTTTCCTAATTACTGGTTAGCTTGTAGTAATATAAGTAATACCATTATCATCATTATCACTATTATTAGTATCAGAAGTAGTAGTAGCAATAATAGTAAGGCTCCGATGCTAATGATATAGACGTGCCTCATGGAACTGTATGAATAGCAATGAACTAATTATGTGTACTGTGAAAAGTGATGCAAAATATGTATTAAAGCAGTGGTCTAATTGGGAAAAACTTCTATATATTGTTGTAGGATGATTGTCTTTTACTTCTATCTGCTATAACTTTCGGTGACAAGTCATTATATTTCTGTGTTGTGTTTGTATCTTACTATATATTATATGTATATTTTCTAACTAATTTGTTTGTATAATACTAACAACGCATGGCTCATTATAGCAGAAATAAAGATTATTATCATCATCATTATTATCAATATGGCACACATTCATATATTCTACTCACACAGATATGATATGCTCTTTTTCAATATTACTTTCTACTCCTGGAACGTTTTCTTTATTCTCTCTCTCTTCTCTCTCCTTCGCGCACCATATCCCTCTACTCCTCACTTTATATGGACAAAGGACGCGACTTAAATGAAGAAGAATGCCTGAGAAAGCATCATTTAACATTAATTTACTCTGTAATTTCTTCTCCTCACATATATCTCTCCCAAAGAAATTTATTCGCTATTTCTTCTTTCTGGGGGGGGGGAAGATGACGGTGAAGAACAGACGAGGAGGAGAGAGAGCGGAGGAGAGAGAGAGAGAGAGAGAGAGAGAGAGAGAGCGAGAAGAGAGCGAAAGAAATGCGCGAGAGATAGAGAGCGGTGAAGTAACGCCAATAGCCGATCCCGTCACAGTGTCGTATTAACATATCAGTACCTCGTATAGCACTTCATTCGATTTCAACAATGAGCTCTCTCTCTCTCTCTCTCTCTCTCTCTCTCTCTCTCTCCTCTCTCTCTCTCTCTCTCTCTCTCTCTCTCTCTCTCTCTCTCTCTCTCCTCTGTTCTCTCTCGTCTCTCCCTCTCCTCTCTCTCCGTTCTACCATTCATTCGTACATTTCACAAAAGGAGATAAAAAACAAGAAAAAAAGCGTACACAAGAAATACACTCGACCACCAAAAAAGTGAACACGCCATATTTGGTAGGCTCGTAGGAGGAAGAGCAGGTAAGAGGCCTACTTATTCCATAGGCCTAATAAGCGCTTCTCAAATAAGGCGGAAGGCAAACCACGCGAAAATGTTAAGTATAAATAAACGTTTTTTTCTCTCTCTTTCTGTTTTATTCGTTCTATTCCTTTCTACTTATTCTTTATATATTTGCATACTGATTTTTATAGATAATGAGCAAAGGGCTGAGATATTTTGATAGAAGAATTGTATTTCTCGATGATATGATGATATGATAGATGATATAGAAATGATTATACTGTGATGGAGTGATGAATGTGAGATGTGAGTATGAAGATGAAGATGAAAATGAAGATGAAGACAAAGATGAAGACGAAGATGAAGATGATGAACATTAAAGCTAATGAAGATAGTGACCATGATGATCTTGACATCCCGCCCATCACTTAGAGTCAACAACAACTCAACCAACAACCCACCGATAGCTATACAACACGCTCCTCCCACCCACTTGGACAGCGCAACGGAGGGCTCCTGCTCTTATACGTGACGACTCCTCCTCACGGAGGTCAAATCCTGAAGAACTGGTCTCGGTGATAATCGCTGCTATCTCTCATCAGGTCATATTCCGTCTCAGTACAAGCGTGGTCTCGTCCTGACACACATCGCGATAGTAATAACTCAGTGCGCTTGCTGCACATACTGAATTAGTGATATCTCGAGCGCATGACTCCACCACGGCCGTGCTTCTAGTTAAAGCCAGTCGTCGCGTTAGCTAGGGTCTCTTACGTTACTCCATATCTCATCTATCTCTTTCTCCCTCCTCTTCGCTCTGTCTCGCTGAGTCTGCGCTGCGTTCGTTGATCTCGGTATTGCTTCCGTCCTATTCGAATCTCCCGACGCCTCTCCTCGTTCCTGTCTCTCTTTCTCTCTCTCTCTCTCGCTGTCCTCCTCTCTCTCTGCTCTTCTCTCTCTCTCTCTCTCTCTCTCTCTCTTCTGTCTCTCTCTCTCTCTCTCTCTCTCTCTCTCTCTCTCTCTCCTCTCTCTCGTTCTCTCATCTTTCTCTTCTCTCTTCTCTCTCTGTGTCTGTCTGTTGTTGTCTGGTCTGCTGTCTCTCTCTCTCTTCTGTCTGTCTCTCTCTTTCTTTCTTCTCTCTCTCTCTCTCCTCTCTCTATCCTTCTCCCTCCTCTCCTCTCTCTTTCTTGCTCCCTCTTCTTTCATTTCTCTCCTTTTCCTTCCTTTTCCCTCTTTCTCCCTCCATAGTCTCCCTCTCTACGTATTTCCTCTCTTTATCTCTCTCCTTCCTTCCTCCCTCCCTCTCTCCTTTTTTTCCCATCCCTCCTCCCTCCCTCCCCTCCTCCCCCTCCTCCCTCCCTCCTCCTCCCCTCCCTCCCTTCCCTCCCTCCCTCCCTCCCCTCCCTCCCTTCCTCCCTCCCTCCCTCCCTCCCTCCTCCCTCCCTCCTCCCTCCCTCCCTCCCTCCCTCCCTCCCTCCCTCCTCCGCAGGCACGACTAAGCAGGTAGAATTAGCCGTCGCTCTGCAGGTAATGGAGTGTTGTCTTTAGAGAGGTCGAGTCAGCGTGACTGCTCTTATGGCTCGTCTCGTTCGCCCTCCCTCCTTCTCTATGTTTATCTGTCTGTCTGTCTGGCTTTCTCGTCTTCTGTCTCTCTCTGTCTGTCTCTGTTTCTGTCTCTGCTCTCTGTCTCTGTTCTCTGTCTCTGTCTCCTGTCTCCTCCTCTCTCTCTCTCTCTCTCTCTCTCTCTCTCTCTCTATATATATAATAATAATATATTATATATATATAGTACATATGTGTGTGTGTGTGTGTGTAGTGTGTGTGTGGATATGTATGATGGTATGTGTGCGTGCGTGCGTGGTAGTGTGTGTGTGTGTGTGTGTGTGTGTGTGTGTGGTGTGTGTGTGTGTGTGTGTGTGTGTGTTGTGTGGTGTGTGTGTGTGTGTGTGTGTGTGTGCGGTGTGTTGTGTGTGTGTGCATGTGTGTATTTGTCTGTCTTTCTATCAACTCCTTATTTTGTCTCTCCCATTCTTAACCTTGCCGCTCACCCCCCTTGCTTTCTCCTCTCCCTTCCCTCCTTTCTCTCCCACCCTCTCCCTTCCCTCCTTTCTCTTCCCCCTTTCCCTTCCCACCTTCTCCTTCCTTCCCCCCCATTCTCCACCAACGGGACAAGCTAGACGGTTTCATTCGATAAACTACGACATAATTAGGGTTCAGCGTGGTCGACCTGCGCGCCGAGAGGAACTAGATCGAGACGAATGACTGTCGTCTGCCGCGTCGCCGTTGCCATGGTGACGGTAAACATCGGGGAGTCTATTTTTAGCGTTAAACGATGGTGAGATGTGGATTGTTATTCATGATCAATTTCATTATTGTGTTAGCATATTACTACTTTTTTATTTCTATTTCCATTATTGTTATTATTATTATTATTACTTTTATCTTATTATTTTATTACTTTTATCATTATATTATTATTTATTTTCTTTATTATTATATTATTATATTATTATTATTATTATATATATATCATCATTTATTATTATCATCATTATCATTATTACCATTATTTACTTACCATTATCATCATTTCATCAGTAGTACTAAGTAATAGTATAATCAAATCATTAATCATATTTTATCACGTGTGTTATTAAATATATTTAGTTACATATATACGAACATACACACACACCACACACACACAACACACACACACACACACACACACACCAACACACAATACACTATATCATACACACACACACACAACACGCACCACACACACACACACACACACACACACACACACACACAACACACACCACACATATATATACACACACACCACACACGCACACACACACAGCACCACACACACCACAACACACACACACACACACACACACACACACACAAACACACACCCACACACACACACAAGCACCACACACACAACCACAACACACACACACACACACACACACACGCACACAC